TGATAATAAAACGCTACAAGGTATAAATACGACAAGAATTATAACCGCTACTTTGTTACGTCACGCGCACCGGATAGACAAATTCGAATAGTAGCCGCTACCAAAGTCGTATATTGTGCAGCAGTCTTTATTTTGGAATATATTTACACGTGCTTAGTGCTGGAACTCGCATTTGTTTAAGCTGTGCTTGTCTTATTAAATACCATATAACGCACTTGCTCGCATAGCTTGTAACAGTAAACGACTATCTCGAATGGAACATTCATTAGACATGTACGTAAGCTTGAATTGTGTCTTGCAACTGTCAAATCACTTATGCTTGTAGGAAAAAAATCTTATGGCGAAAGTATTACAGCAAAACAGAAAAAATCCTTTTGACTTTTAAACGTTAACGGGAAAAATAACATGTCGAAATTTTCTAGTGATTCCCGGGAACTTTTGAGGCGACCGAGATATGTCTACATAGCGAAGAATGTCACAATAACCCCGGCCTATATCTCACGCGTTTAGAAAATAGCTGCCCACTTATAAGTGGAGGAATCTTGTAAACAGTTATTTTCCCAACTATGAGTGTGTTGTAACATTAAAAGGCGCGTACGTATCATACAATCTAACCAATGTAGAGAAGTAATCAAACTGATATGACGAGCACAATTCACATTTAATATCCAATTCTTCTTCTTTCAAATAATCATTTTCTTTCAAGAAATCAACTTAGACCTTTCAAGTGCAGATCGTTAATTCATTTGATAAGGCGCAATTAGAAATTGAAAGTGGTTTGTCAGAGTCCAGTTGACACGGCTCCAAGATGCTGTCGACAGATAACGGTAACATGGTTCAAGTGGTCGCGCAAGCGCCAATCGCATCCGACGACTTGCGTAAATCATAATGCAGAACACTACAGCCAGCGTGCGTATACTGTACGTGTCTAAGTTTCTGTCAATATTGCTTTATATATTTGGCAGTGCACCAGACCTTATAGTGTATTCAAATTTGTTGTTATGCGTCCATATTTCATCTGTTTGCAAGGACGTTCGTCAATGTCAAATGAATCGGGAATCATGACGTTTGTGAGGAACTTTCTGTTTCGTATTGCGAGGATATGATACCTTCTATTGTATTAGATTTGTCAGAGAAAAGTGTAAAATAGGATATTTGGTGGTCGTAAAGAAACGAGGTCAAGGTGGAAAATGAGAACGAGGTTGAAAGCCAATATTTCCCGTCGATAATGTAAAAAATAACATCGCCATGGACATTTACTGAAATAATCGAAGGAATAGGAATTGTTATCACAATTAAAGTGTCTAGACATAGCATAATAGCTAGACACAAGTGTGAAAATTATGAATGGCACGCAATCAAAACCGCTCGCCGTCGCCAAGTGTGTTGAAGAATAAATTTATGGAATAATAAGGAGCGACATGAATTAAATAGTTGCATATACGACTGTAGTTATTGCGCATAGCTATAGCGAGCACATACTTTAAATTCAACAAGCGGTTTATAGAGAATTACACAACTACGGACAGTCAGTGCCAAAATTCTATTTGTGACACAAACCGAGACGGGTATATTTAACTGCCACCCATAAACTGTCGAATACTGTCTCTGACAACGTCGTTGGACAACGAGCACGATTAAACAAAACAACATTTTTAAATACATGGTTTTATGTCCCGAAAGCCAATAAACGAACTTAAAATTGGATTAAAAATGTTTTACAAACCACTGTTAGTGAGTTCGTTATAGTACCAACTACATGTACGAAAGGACAAAACAATTTAATAAATAATTAACACCAAAAGCCCTCGACAACGCAGGAAATGTCTAATATAGTGGACATATTCGTGCAAACACAAGTGAAAACTCAGATTTCAAAACAAAGATCTGTTAACAATATTTTCTCCAGTTAATGTAAAGCTTTATTACACATTGTATTCCGTTGTTCGCAGAATAATTACGAGTTTGTTTGCGCCTCCTCCAAACAAACATTCCATTCTTATGCGGTACAGCATTACCTCAACCGAAACGCCGACACTCGATGCATAAATAGAAACATTTCTTGGATGGAAATTCACGACTTTTATTTTAGGGCCGTCATCAAACCGGAGAAAATGTTGTCATAGTCACAGTTCTATTTATAAGGTGAATGAAAAATAACATGACGCGTCGTTCAAATTATGTATGCACTTTGAAACCGTCCTTAGCTGTTGTTATTTTATAATAATGACCTATATTCGCTTTCACAAACAACTTTACATTTATATTGACAATATATTTACGAGTCGAATTATTTTCCTAAAGTTTCAAACTTTCGTAAGTTTAACAATAAAATGTCATTTTTATTTTATTTATATTTAAAGGAGCTTGAGTCATACAAGAAAATAGGTCGCCGCAAGTTTATGAAAATCCATTTCAGTTAGCTAGTAGTCCTAGATATTCTAAAAAGTTTCTAAGTCCGACTTTCGACATTGCAACCTAAACGAATTACGTTTTTTGAGATTTTAGCGTTTTCAATAAAGTACTTTATGTTGGCAATAGACCGCATCTCGTGACTGCGCGGGCCGTATTCGCGAACGCACGTGTGGGCGGCCATAGAACCGCCCCACTCTATGAAAACAAAGTTTATATTGTGTGCTTCCGTTTTGCATACTCGCAGAGTAGACATTGGAATGAGAAGTAACGGAAAGCGGATATTCGTTTATTTATATTTTGTGAGAATTTAATTACATTTAACTTAAATCACATTTTAATATAACTAACATCAACCGTTAGGTTAAAACGTGGATCAAGAAATCTTGGAAAAACTTGTAAAAGACGCCATCACTATGAATTCTGGGCATTATGATAACATGGGACATATTTCTTGCAATGTATAACCAAAACAATTTAAAAAATAATTACTTTAATTTGTCTTTAATTGAAAATTTCAACAATTCATACGCTATAAGCAAAACGCACATCTCTACGAAAGTACAAAGCTCCGTCCATCTTCGTAGAACTATAAACATTATTACAATACAAACAGGATAAACGCGTCAAAGATTCCATAGCTATGAATAAAATTTACAAATTGGGTCATGGGAGTACTAATACTTTAATGCAAAGATTGCAAAGTGCAATAACAAAATTAAATGTTAACAACTTAATTTTAATTAAAAACCGTACCGCTTTCATAGAGACTAAGTAAATTTAGTCGAATCGAGGAATTTACAACTTGGCAAAGAACAGTCAAGTGGTTTACGTTGCAGATCCTTATTGGATCATTAATCCACAATATCAGGATAACTTCTTAGTCATTTGCAGGATTTGAAACAAAGAATGGATGAATTTGTATTGCATATTAAAATTACAATAACTATACAGAACACATTCCTTAGAAGATTTTGAATGAAAATTGTAGACGCTAGAACACCTTAACAAGTGTCAAGTAACAAAAAAATGTTGGATGCCAATGACAACATGGAGCGGATAGCAGTAATGATGATCGATGACTTTACCGTAGCGCGTCAGTCGGCGGTCTCGAGAGCCAATACTAATTAATAGGCGTCCCGCCGGTCTCTCAGACGACCTTAGTCGCTGACGCCGCTACCTGTCACAACATCGATGAACATGTCGTCATAAACACACTACTAGACTGTCAAAGAATGACTGACTACAAATGCATGTTCCAATCTTCTAATACTTAATGGACTTGTCTTATCAACATTTATATCGGTAAAACATTATAGCCTAAAATATTTAGTCGTAAATTACTCACAAGTCTTACAATAAACTATAAACAGTTGTACTTTTACTGCTCTAATAACAATGCTGTATTATATTCAAGAAAATATACGAAACGATATTTTGAAAAGTAGCGACACGCCCAAATTGTGCAAGGAACAATAGTAAAGCTACGTACGGCGTATGGCTAATGAATTCAAGGCATTCGACGTGTATGTTTACGACTCCCGGTTACATAACGTCACTCCAGACCATTCTGGTCACTATTTATACTTACACTTCCATTCCCGTACCACAGTGACACATATTACTTACTCCCGTGACTGAGGACAGGCTAAAGATAATTTTCCTGCGTTTTAACCCACTCATTAACCGGATTTGAACGCCCGTTACGGTACATTTTTATTTCTTAAAAAATGCTCACACAATGCACTCATCTTGCGTTAAGTAGACTAAGATGAGAACAAATTTGAAAGTAAAATAATGCCGCATTTTACATTGTATATCACACTTTTTATTAAAATAGTAAGGTGTACAAAACTTCTTTGATCTTTTATCAGATGACCTCTGTAACGAAAATGTTTTTCTGTAGAGCTCTTGAGGTGAATGCGAGACCTTGTAATGTGTATAAATTTAAAAAATATATATGAATACAATCCGCCTTCCATAGAATACTTAGGTATATAAATTATTTACTAGTCAAAAAGGTAATGAGAATGCTTAATGATGAGCAAATAAAAGTTCTCAAATTAATAGTAAATTATGTGCATAATTTTTTTCCGCCATACAAAAAGATGGTGACCTATGTCAATCCATTTTTTCTATGAATTCCTTCAACAAGTATATGTAGGCAGAAAAGTAGAAAGGTAAACAGAAAAGTGGGGGTGTTAGTAACCACACAGACACGTGGCCGCCCCGTACCGTTGTCGCAGGCGCATCGCGGCTTCACAACAGACAGCAAACAAACTTAATCAAATATTATCTTACACGCTGACAGTAAAACATTTTACTATTTAAATACACGTAAGGTGGAGGCTATTTATAGTTAATAAATTAATTGTAATTAAATTTACTTAGTATTAAGACTGATATAACTCTTGTCCTATCGGTAAAAAGCTAAATTGTAAATACATAGCAGGGGATCACACAATATCTCGAAGATATATTTTGCTAACATTACTGTGTACTTTGTGTTATCTTTTTTATTTATCTGAATGCGGCTGCATGAGGCACAATGTTATCGAAGCAAGGCTTGAGGTAATCGGTAGTCGTACCGTCGCAGTGCCTGCAGCGTTTCGGCTCCGGGGGCGCGAGCTCGTCGCAGAGTTCGCGGTGTCGCACCGGCATGGCGGCGCATCCCGCGCCGGCGCCGCACTACACCACCGGCGCCAGCGGCAGCGCCAGGACCTCAGCACCAGAGCTCACGAACACGGGTTCGCGTTGCTCGGCCGCTCCTCCGGCGGCGGCGTCACCACTGCCACTGTGCCTGTCCGACTCCGCCCGCCCCGGCCGATAGGCGGCGCCCATTCCCAAGCTATTTTCAGCTTCCGTGACTCACGGCTCGAACTGCCCGTGCCGGCGCCCGCGCAGCTCAGGCTCTACGCTACCCCGCAAGCCTACACGACGGCAGGCAAACACGTGCTCATCAAGATGGAAGTCCCTGGCAAATCCTTGATGTAATATCCCATATGCCCTAATATCAATGTACAATTTAGACAAACATAACAAATTTTTTTTTTTAAATTACAATAATTGTAATTTTATTTTCATTGTAGAAATTCGATTAAAATGACTTTCCACTACGATATACAATTATTATATGAATAGGATAGATACAATTTAGTACCAGTAGAGATCCTTGTGAAAGAGTTCGTCCAGGGAAGTACTGCCACCTTACCTATTGCTGCCGCCAAGCAGTAATGTCAGCATTACTGTGTTCCGATTTTAAAGGGTAAGTATGCTGGTGAAATTACAGGCACATGCGACTTGTCAACTCAGGGTGACGGGCGCAGTGACAGTGCCCCTTAAATCTTTGCGGTTTAAAGCTCTGAGTGGCACTGCAACTGTTATGGACAGGCATATAGCTTACCATCAGGCATACAATTTGTGCGTACTGTCAATTTATGTTATAAAAAAAAAAAAGGATGAGAAGTAGTAGGTCTGTAGAGTGTTGTTACTGCACTCATGCTACTTAGCATGTCCAGCAAATTCGTATTTTCCATTATGTTATGTTAATTAAAACTTCATTTTTGATAAGTCTAGAATCCATCAAAGCCGCAATTTATTTTGAATGAAAAAAAATTGTAAGTTTGTTGCATTTCCAGTTCAGTATAAGTGGTGACAGATTGCAGTTTATTATACTTAATGTGCTCAGTATTGCTGGATGTGTGAATTGCAGTACCTTACTTTTAAGGAAAATTTTTTGGAGAATCACAACTAGGCAGAAGTTTCCTTACTGAAGCGCAGCTGGGTATTTTTTTCCCAATAGATTTATATATGGAATGCAATTCTATAAGTTTATTTGATTATTAGACAGTTATATAGGGTAGGAAAAGTAGTTTTTTGTTATTAAATATATCAAAATCCACTGCTTTAAATGTACATCGAAGAATAGATTTAGAATCTAGGTTTTATATACTTTAAAATGCGCTATGTGTAGCTTGTCTACAAGCCAGTTTATTGGTCGCCCTTTCATACAATTATTTTGCTATTGTAATCTGCTATAGTACATTACAATGGTATGGGTATATAATGGCAATTTGAAACATGATACTAAGCATAAATACTCTCGAGATTACACATTTAATGGGCAATTTTCTCTTTACTTTCTCACAATCTGCTATGAAATGCAACTTAGGAATTAAAAAACAGATCCAGTTAAGTGAGATCCTAAAGTACCTAGGTTTTGCACTAAGTTTATATCTACACACAATTTAGAGAAAAGCAAAAATAGGTGCTTATTTTCTATTCTTTATTTTTCTGATGTAAATTTTTTTGTACGCTTTGTTGCATTTCTTAATGCAAAACTGTCACAAAATCCAAACTTCTTCTTCCTCCTGTCCTGTTCCCACTCTAGGTGGGGTCGGCACGACATGTATTTTGTGAAAGTAACTCTATCTGTGTGTCTGTTATGTTTTTACACCTAAACCTGTGAACCAATTTTGATGCAATTTTGGTATATAGCTCAATAGGTCCTAGAAGACATAGGCTACGTTTTGCAAGAAAAAGAAATCTTAATAAAAATAAAGGGTGAATATTTTTATGCAAAACCAATAAATCTATGAAAATTAGTGCAGTATAGTAGGCTAGTCGTACTTATTCTACGCAGACGAAGTCGCGGGCATCAGCAAGTACTAGTATATTTTATGACAGATTTGCAGAAAAATCAAAATTCATTAAAGAACATCAAATAATCTAGTTACTAATAAGTGGGTTTAAAATCGCAAAATAGGCGCCTTGTCGTCGAGTTGCGGATACCAGCCTGTTGCACCAAGTACCAAGTGGGTTTCAGACACTATTTAATAATAAAAGATAAGTTTAAGACTGAATTAAGACCTAGATTACATTACATGTAATTTTTTACTTCTCTATAATGTCTATACCGACTGCCGGCGTAATAAAAGACGTTGCAATCGAGTGTCGAATTGTATCTTACGAGTCGGAAACCACAAACCTTCAGCTGCCTATCGGATTTGTGTGACCCTCACTATAATGTTCAAACGATTGATCAACAAGTTAATAATAACATACTAATGCGTAGTGTCTGGTTACCGTGCGAAATGCATGACAGATGAGCTCAACTATTTGCAGCTTAACATTTTACACGGTGATTCCAACTTGACACCAATAATTATGATAATAGCACGGTATTTATCGTTAACACCACAAACAACAACACCTGCGATACTCTGACAATAGAAATATCAATAGTATTTTGACAAAAACGAAGCAGGTTGAATAGTGGGCGGCCAAAAAAAACTTACCTTTGTTTCGCAATAATGCAGCTTGTTCCAACTTATTGCCACTATGTTAAAAAGTTATAATTGTTCTTTATCGGCCAGAAATTGTCGAAATTCCGTTACTCCACGTCACTATGAACAAATAATTATCTCACAAACAGAAATATATACAATCTCTCACATTTTTCAGCCATTTTGGATTTCATAACAATGTTGCCATTTGTTGAATTGTTGCCATAGTTAATTTAATAATAGTAAGAATTACCAGCATTAAATTATTATAATGTGGAGACAGAATTAAATGCAAATCGGATTATTTGTATTTTTGTTTCTGTATCTCGAGTCTGGCATAGGATGATCTCGATATCTACTCAACAACGTCTGACAGGAAACAAATGCGTTATTATTCTAAGGAAACAAACATGTTTTTTCAAGTTCGTTTGAACAAATCCGTTAAAACAGGTTTTACTCTTGATAATAAGAGTAAGGCTCAACTTACAATGGCGCAGAGTCGAAGGGTCGCATCGCGTCCTGTTTTTCAACTACAACGCGCGACGACTCTCGCTTTAGTGTGCCCGGATTATAGTGTGGTCGGCGTCTGACGCCTCACTTCGCTCAAGTAACGCGCGTCGACGCGCGAAGCCGCTCAACTGCATCCAAGCGGCGACGCGCGTCGACGCCCGTTTCCATATTTGCATAACATAAATTTGTACCTTAATGATGGGAAAATAGAGATGAATATATTATAGGCGAAAAACATGACGCGTCGCAACGCTTCGACTCTGCGCCAGTGTGAGTTGAGCCTTAGCGTTTGTTTAACACAAAAACTTCATAATTATTTTTGGTTTCTTCATAGGTATCATTTATTACATTTGTTATAGTACAATACAGCATCTAGCATTAAAAACCATATAAACTAAAAGGCAGCCGAAGATTTTGTATTTACAAAAATTAACATTAAGACAAATAAAATTTGCCTTTTTACCAGCTTGTCTTTATAGTTATAAAATAAAAAATACTACATTTTTTACTTTTTTCGCGATTTAACTATTTTTTCAAAAAATCATTTGCATGATTATTAATACAAAGATCGAACACTTTCAAAAAACTCCTTCGTTCCGGCCGGATTCGAACCGACGTCTTCTAGCATACCGTGGCAGACGCTATACCAACTAAGCCACGAACACTTAGTTACTTAAATAACTTTATTTAAATTATACTCTCACGCACTTAGATTTAAGTGGAACATAAAGTAAAAGAACCCGTAAGTTGACAATGATAACTATTTATTTAGTATAAAGCTCTGTGAGTACTTGTGGAACTGAAATTCATCATGCATTGACAGCACAGTTCAGACAAAAAATATTTATTATAAATAAATATATTAAACTAAAAAATAATTTTGTACAGTACGCTTTTAAAATACTTTATATATATAACAAAATAAATAATAGAATAAATAAAATTAATTTCCTTGAAAAAAGATTCGATTTATGTCGTAGGTTAACGGATAAAGAGGGACTTTTTATTTTCAATTAAGAAATAACATGCAAAGTAGAACGACCTCCAAAAAATACATCAGCCTTCTGAAACCACCATAAACTAATGAATAAAAAATAATATTCAATTCGACTTAGCAAGGACACTTCTGAAAATAAGTAGCTCATTACTTTAATTATTATCATTATACATTATTCAATGTATGTATGTCATAGTAGGCGGGCATACGGAAATTATCTATTTTAAACATAGAAAAAACCATATTTATGTACAATTTTATTACTTACGAGAAAAGCTTAACAATAAATTTGACAGTAAGGATCCTTTCTGCAAAAGATGTTCAAAAGCCTGTTCAAAATTCAAATTCTGAATATGAAACGAATATAAGATAGTCGCGATGCAAGTCCTAAGTATACTCATCTACGAGTATATAGCGTAAAGGGCTTTGGGTCTGTCATGCGACACGTTTGGCTCCACACGTGTATCTAATCCGAAAACAGGGGGTCTACTCTCGATCTCCGTCTGAAACAATTGCTGCCAAATAAGCAATACTTGACCAACTGAAAAGACGCGTGATGCGAATGAAGCTTCATACTTGATACGTGGCTTTTAATTTTGTCGAATATTACTTATTTGACAGTAATTGATTCGGACGGATGTTGGACGGAGATCGAGAGTAGACCCCAGATCTAGTCCTGCAGATAACGCACAATAGAAAGCATTTGCTATTGCAATTGCAAAAAAAAAAATGCAAAAATATTGCAAGCTATTGTGCGTTATTGTGGAGCAAAATCTGCGTAAGCTCTCGGCCCTCCTTGAGTCTCATAATCAGTAAACCGTGGGATGGAATTTAGCGTAGTTCACGGACCGCGAGAAGGTAACCCTCATGATTGGTCTTGGACTGCAAGTCATAGATTTCTATCCAATTTCGTCTTCGCGAATAGCATAGCACTATTTCACATTCGCTTCAGTTTCAATGAGACGAAGATCTTTGGCAATTAAATGATATCCTTTTGTTGTTTTAAAGGTAAAGGCATAGTTTAACTCGTAACATATCGTCACTGCAAATGCGACGAAAAACTAATAGCAACTAGCGATTTTTAGCATCATTACTACACTTACCGATTCAAATGCGATTAAAAATATGCTAAAAGTGACATCTAATTTTAAGGAATTACAACTGAACTTTCGATAACGTCTTCAAATTAGGACATTTAAATCAATTTTATATTTTCTCTAGTCAAGGTAATATGTGAAGAGAAATACACATAACCCTTGCAACGCCTGAACTAGCCGTACTCTAAAGTCATAAACTTAATAAAGTATCAATAAGTTTCTGTGAAGTATACAATTAAATGAACAATAATTCCTAAATAGCACACAGGATCTAAAAGATATATTGTTAAACTGCCAGTCATGGTATTGCTTTAACTCATCGCATCGGTAGCCATTTTCTCGTTGTAATCGCCATTTTGTTTTACGTGTGCGTTTTGCAACGTTTTTACAACGGCCATTTCTTTTTGCTCTTTCCGTGAGTTCCGATCTTCGTAATCGAGACGATGGCGGATTATTCGTTGAACAATGTCTTCAGTTGTCATATCATTGCCGGAGTTGAGTACCTATAAAAACATGCGACATTTTTATTGTCATAAATAAAAATAACATAAAAAATATTTATAAATGTCATTATAGTCATTACTAAATAAGAGGCCAAATTTGACACTTAAAGAAGGCGACAGTATGTAACTTTGAATGCGATCAACGAAACAATAAACAAACAATTATCAGCATAATTGAGTTTAAAAATTTTTTTAAACATTTATGACAAAACATATTTGAAGTACTGTTTTCGCACGAATTCCAATATAAAATGCAATTTTGAGTTACCCCGAAACGTCTTGAAAACAGTTGCGTTCTCAAACTACTTTTTTTTAATAATAGTGTTGTAAGCAATTAATCGCCGAATTTCACCGAGTCACTTCGATTTCCCAGAAAAAAAGAACATCAGAAAAAATTATGAACATTATTTGAAATTGCTTGTTGTGATTGACAACTTATTGCCAGCTGAATAATTGAAAATTTATGAAATCCTTGCTTTCTTGGTAATTTAATCTTTTTATGTAGTTTTATCGACGAACATACTTATTTACACTAAGTTCTCGTAATAAATCATTTATGAATATTATAAAATCAAAATTAAAAGAATTGGATACAATTCATCGGAATCAGAGACAGTTTTACGAAAATAGGAGTAATTGTTGCAGAATTCTAAGGAATTCTGTAAATGAATTGCTTTTAACAGAATTGCACGGCCTTTTAGGCACCCAGAAAAACAATTAACTGAAAAATAATCTAAACAATCACAAACTTGAATCGATTTCTCATGAAAATCGTATAAAGTGATTACCGATATGATTAGTCCACATCCCTATTCGCGTCATGATGACAAATGTCAAATTTGACCTCTTATTTGGTGACGACAATAAAGGGCCACACAACTATACTAATCACTTGGTCTCAAAAACTTGGGAATTCCCTGTGAGGACCAGAGCGACGGAATTAGCTCAATTTAGAAACGTTCGTTTTCCATATTGGTTCTGCCGGGAATCAAACCCCAGAACCTTTTCATCTAACGCTCACAATAATAGCCACTGTTTAATTCCACTATTGTTGAAATTAATTATTTATACGAATGGTTATAAAGGCAAAAAACCTTGTGTTACCTACTTTAAAACATCCTCGTTTTTTAGGAACCAAATAAGGGTCCGTTCCATCCGCGTCACGAGCGGTTGGCGTGAGGCCGTGACACACAACTTGCACTTTAAAGTGGTCCATTAGATCCGAAGTAACACTGTACGGAGCGCCGATTACGACTTCGTGAACATACTGAAAGCATGAAACAAGAAATTGATATTTATAATTCCTAATGTTTTTTTTAAACAAGTTAGTTTTTGATACAAATTAGCTTTCTAAACTCTGAAATGTAGTCTAAGTCCAAACATGTAAACAAACAACTGTCTAAGTGACATCTCATAGATCATAAACCTTTTTTTTGCGTTCGTTTATTAACAGGTTCCACTGACGATGATTCTGACTAATAAATTATAATTGAAAAATACGCTTTTCGCACAAAGATCAATATTAATTTAGTGACCAGGTTTGAAATGTATGCTTGTAAACATTTATTACCATAACTTTCACAATTACGGGGCGTGGTACTTTTTTGCCTCCATATGTTCACACGAACGTAAGCAAACACAAACGTAACAATAGGTAAAACCAAAACTCAACGACAATTAAAAATAAAACTCAACAACATGACGCATACGCAGCAAGGAACACATACTATAATGACAGCTGCCAGAAACCGAATGAAGAACGAAATCGTGGTGATGCAATGGTGCAGATACAACCCGACAACCTGACCGGTTATCCATCCCTATCGATCAAAAACTGACTTTTATTTTTTAGTTCATTGTAATTAACATTATTTAATAATGAACCAATTTATTATCCTTAATAAAATAATATTTAATTTTTTTTTTATAACGCACACACTCAACATAGCCCCGCACTAGGGAAACCCTGCGTCGCGGGTGCTATGGACACACACATAGACAACCACAAATTACACCCAAACTCACGAGATAAATAATTGTAGGCCATACAACTATTTCTCCCGGCCCGGGAATCGAACCTGGGACCTCTGCGTGGCAGTCCGGTATGTTAACCGTTCGGCCACGGAGGCAGTTCAATATTAATAAAGTAATAAATTATTCACATCAGCAGTAGTCTGCTTAAAAGTATTTGTGTTTACATATAACAAATTTAAAAAAATCGAGTAAACAAAAAGGACAGCCAAAGGTTGTTCATCCCCGAAACATTGCCAATAGGATAAAAAATCTTTCCACAGAAAGTATTTTGAGATTATTTTATTATATATGGAGTTTTAAATAAAAAATATAATTTGATAATATCTTGTTTGTAAAAACAATATAAAATATCTTGCATTAATTTTTAGCCCTTTTCACTGTTATACGATTCGTAAAATATTTTTTTGTAATGGCATCACCTTTGTTTGACTTTGATTTCATCTCGAGTTTAGGAATTTAATAAAGTACATTTATTCGAAGTGATAAATATACCATGATAATTATATTGACATTTATTAAATTTATTGGAGTAACAAAATGTTACCGCTAGCAAAGTCGCGTCATGTGTTTTGTACCCAAGAGACTTAATCAAACGTGTCAAAGGTCAATTTCAAAAAAGTAACAAACCAAATCGAGGTCCCAGAAATTACTCTTCGTATTTATTTGGTTTTATCGTTGTTTGTTATATGTATTAAAAAAATTAAAGATACAAAACTATGAATCAGCAAGGATAGTTATCGGATATACATCAGATAATTATCAAAGGACATAAATATCTTGGTAATTTCGATCCCTGCACCCTGGTTATAAGTAAGTCAATGTCATCAAAACTTGTAAAGTTGTTAGTTATCGTCGTCTTAGAGTGAAAACACGTAGTTCGTTTTTACTGATTTTTGTTGAGGAATAACTTATAAACTTTTTAATATGCTCAAGTCTTGCTCAAATATATTAATAAAAGAATATAGTATCTGAAAGAGGTATAATGAAACTAATCAAAATGCTAACTACAAACATTATATATTATTATATTGCGTTTACTACATTTTACACCACATTTTTATTTTCGTCCTGAAAAATTGCATAGAAATCACATACGAGGTTTTCACTTTATGACGACGTTATTTTTAATAAACAAATGTACGAAGTTAACAGTGTATAATATGAAAACTCGCGAGTTTAAAAAATAAACAACATTCGTATTAGGTTGTCAAAATTAGTCACCGGTAGTTGTGTGCGTTTACTTCCAAATATTTTACGCACAAATAAAACAGTTAGAGGTGCACATGTAATGCTTTGAAGAAATTTTAATAAGTATGAAATAAGCAAATATAGGTGATACTGATTATTGATTAAATAAAAATAAGTTGAAAAAATTACCTTGCAAGCGAGTACTGAGAGCACTCTTTCGTGAAGGTTCATTATAGGGTAGTTTGATCCCTTGTAACGATTTACTTCAAGGTCTGTATGTAGCCCCACGATAAGGAAGTCGCCCTGCTTGTGCGCCTCCTCTAAGAAGTCTAAATGACCCACGTGGAATAAATCGAAGGCGCCTGCAACGTATACTACCTGTAATGGAAAAATATTCGTATTTACTCTTATTTCTTTACAGACAATTTAATCATATGAGCACAAATATTATTATTATTTTGCTCGATAATATATCCACCGGATCGAAAATGACGTTTAAATAAATAAGAAGTTTAAATCAAATCAAATCAAAGAATTAATTTCAGACTTTGTCCTTATCATGTTAGTTACAGAAAACTTATAGCCTTCTTTCTCTTTTAAAATCGATTGTCAGAGAAAAAATAAAATTACATTAGGTTATACACCAAGCCTCTGGAACCCATATGTGCGTAGTTCCAGTGCTTAAATATATCGCAGATCTGATATTCCCAGACCAATCGCATGAGGCTCCTGGAACTGTCATGCACACGCCGCATCGGGGAGGCAGTTCTTTTGCGTATTATCGCACTGAAGTTATCAGTACGCGCCTCCGCCAACATACTTGATGCACTGCAAAAGCGAGGCAGTCCTAACAGCATCATAAAACCATTATTGTATTGGACACGCAGGGCATTGACCGTCTTTTTAGTGTAACTTGTCCACAGGCTGCCCGGATAAAAAGTTTGGCAAAACGCCTTGAACAAGGTAATTTTAACTTCCTCATCAGAACGCGCGAACCTACGAGTCAATATGTTACAACGTACGGCCAAAGCCCTGCGTTCCCTCTCCATATCGTCATCATCGCGGAGGGTTTCAGTGACCCAGTGCCCAAGGTATTTAAAACGTGCCACTCTTTGGAGAGGAGCGCCGCACAGATGTACCGTGGGGATTGACGAGAGTTTTGTTACCTGCCTTAAACATTAATAATTGACTTTTATCTGTGTTATACCTTAAGCCATGGGTCTACGCATATACCTCACAAATTTTTAAAAGTCTTACTAGCGCACTGATCGACGGGCACAGCAGCACCATATCGTCCGCGTAACTTATATTATTCACTATATTACCACCTATTGAGCATCCAATACCAGTGCCACTGAGCCCAGCGATCAGCTCATCCATGTACAGATTGAACAACTTTGGTGAACCCTGTCTGTCTGAACCACCCTGTCTCACTCCACACTCTAATCTGTACATGTCTGAGAGCGCACCCGCCCATCTCACTTGGTTGATGTGATTCGCATACCAGAAGCGTAACAAATTAATCACCTCACACGGGGTACTTGTGCACTTCTCCATTTTGTCCCACAGGATATCATAAGAGACCATATCGAATGCCCAATATAGGTCCAAGAAACAGGCAAAACCAGGCGTTTTCGCTTTGGTATAGTACTGGACGGTATGTTTAAAGCATAGAATGGCATTTTCAGTTGACAGATTGGGCTTAAAACCAAACTGCGCATCCTGGGTTTTTACATTCTCTGCTAACACACCGTCCAATAGTCCATCCAGCACTTTAGCCGCTACTGTTGCCAATGATATTGGTCTGTAATTGGAACCATCAGAGGCATCCCCCACTGTGTTTTTGAAATGTGTACAACAATCGTCTTCATTAGACTGTTAGGAAGGTAGCAATGGGTAATGCACAAATTAAAAAGCATTTTGAGAACCCGGGGTAGGTGTGCTCCAGCGTGGTGGAAGTGCCAATACTGAGCCCATCATGCCCCGGCGACTTTCCTCTCGTCGTGGACTTAATAACTCGGTCAACCATTCTGAGTGAGAAGCTAACCTGCCGAACAACATGGCGATCTTCATTCGAGACCACTCCTGACCACTACTACACGCGGACTTTTTACTCTAAAAAGCGCCTCAAAACATGTTTGCAATGTGTACAGGCTCACACAAACTGTCAACACTTCCCGGGATAGCAGTCCCGGGATTTATTTTATTTGTGTGTCTCCAGAACTCGCGAAAATCTTTAGCTTTGTGGTGTGTAGCCAGAAGGTCCATTTTTATTTGAGTTTCATTGTCCTGACACCATTTCAGCTTCTCCTTAAACAGTTTTCTAGAGGCACACATATCCGCATAGAGAGGCCCAGCCACTGGCCTACCACTACTGAGCCACAATTGAAAACATGCTCTCGCCCGTGAATGAGCCTCCTTTACGTGTTTGTTCCAACCGATGACCTGCTTACGCTTACATTTTCTAATATTGCAACTAATTTTCGAGGCTGACTGAAGAGTATAAATAATTTCATTATATAATTTATCTATCACAATTTTATGAGCGTTATTATTACAAAAATTATCACAGCATGACCTTAATTCTATTGGAAAATCTATTTCTTTTAAATTATTACAGCATATTTTATTATATAAGTTTATTTGATCAAAATTCCTGTCCCCCCACACAATTTTATTAGTATAATTTTGCCCATTATTAATAATATTTTGCTTTAAACAATTTAATTTAATTTTAATAATGATTGGAAAATGATCCGACCAGTACACATCGTGGTTCACACACGCATCAGTAACAGTCAACCAGGCTGCCTCAGTGACTAGGCAGTGATCCAGCCACCGTCTGCACCCATGAGCATCACTTACAAAAGTATACGTCTCCGATTCACTGCCAAGCCACTCCAGATCAGCACAGCGCCACTTTGGTTTCACACAGAAATCGCACAACTCGGTAATAAATAAACTACCAGGATGTGCATTAAAGTCACCCAAAATAAAAACATTATCCGCATTTTGTGACTCGATAATCCCACTTATTTCACTCAGATATTCCGTGAACTCAGATAGGTTAGGTACATCGTCAGTAGGCATGTACACAGAAAATATAAGCAACGAATGACCCCCAACACTACCACCGATCGCCGCCACACGCACACTATTACACTGTATTACGTTGACTGACGTAAACAGTCCCTTACTCCACATTAGAGCAACACCACCGTAAGGCCTTCCTCTTAAAGATGCCCAGCGAAGTATCTACAGCCGACTTATTTGTGTAATCAAAGTTGCAATCAATATTTCCAATAAAATCCACATCATCTGATAAAAGCCATGTTTCCTCGAGAGCTATCACGTCTGCTGATTTACAGAGGGCTCTGATCCCCTCCAGAGACCTTGATGCGGACTTACAATTAAATGTTAATAATGTGATTTCAGATAGTACTTGGTCAGACATAATCATATTAATTAATTATCTTTCTTATCTCGACTAAAATTCACATATCTCCGGAATATGATTCCATCTGGCCATAGGTTTCTATCCATAAAAATCGCCAACTTGTGCCGTGGTACCATCACTTTGTATGAGTTGTACTGTTTCGCTCTCTTTGCATATATTTTTTCCAACTCGACATGAACTTGAGTATTTTCAAAAATACTCAATATGTCAATATATATTGTATGTATCAATATGAATTGACTATTTTGTGAAATAACTCCGCTAGTTTTGTTATGATTATGAATACTTAGATCGAATACACAGAAAAAATTTTTTCGTCGACCCGGTGGGACTTGAACTCTCTCCTGTGTTTTTGTTATAGATCTTTGGACTGACTTTTCGGCATTCGTCGCCGCTATATTCCGTCCAAGCTAACGTGATTAGAATGACAGATCGGCAAAATTCGGACGACGAAAATTTGTAACAGCGTCCTATTTTTTTTTTGTGTTTAACACGACAAAACAGTAAAACGTCTTAAAATATTTTACATATTTACGTTACCATTAATTAACATACATCATTGAAATTCACAAATCATTGAAAAACCACTTTTGGAATGGACGAAAACAAGTAAAAATTTCTCACAAAAAAAATCTCAAAATCTCAATCATTTGATCGAAAAGCGACATCTGCGTCAGTTGTGATACCCGTAAAGGTATCGGCTGCTGTGGTTAGAAGGTTATTCAAAAATCTCTCACTAAATATCACTAGCGGCGACGAATGCTGAAAAGTCAGTACAAAGACTCCTGGATCAAATGTTTAGACCAATGCTGCAGCATGGACGTGGGTTCCAGTCCCACCGGGTCGACGAGAAAAAACAATTCTGTGTGTCCGATCCTTGTATTCATAATCATAACAAGTTTATTTTTTTAAATACAATTTCTGAAATAGAGCCCCAACATTTTATTTTGTGATATTAGATGACGCGATGAAGAAGTCGAGTACCTGATGGTAAGAGCCTTGCTTAGGCATGACAGTTGCAGCAGTGTCACTATGAGCTTTAAATCGCAAACATCTAAGGGGCACTGCCATTACGCTCGTGAGCCTGAGACTTAAGTTGACAAGTCCCACATGTCTGTAATTTCACCAGCAGCCTTAACCTACAAAACCGGAACGCAGCAATGCTCACATTACTGCTTGGCGGCATAAATAGGTAAGGTGGCAGTACTTCCCTGGACGAACTCTTTCACAAGAAGCTCTACTGCTACTACAGGGACTGTGGTATGTTGTGTGGTGTGGTATGTGGTATGGTGTGGACTGTTTCCCTCAGATCTTTGCAATTTAAAGCTTTGAATTTCATGGACCAGGCGCACGATTTGTTCGTCCTGTCACTTGGCATCATAAAAAAAACAATTTTTAAAAATGTTGTACAAAATTAGGACTGTAGCTAATAAAGCGTATGGAGATAAATAACGTAAAGTAGTCAGAAACCGTTTGTCACATCATAAACCGACAACTTAAGCTAAAAATATTTTTATATTAAACAAAAATTACGCCTCACCAAACAATCTCGCAGTTGAAAAATAAAATTACCGGAAAAGTGATTATTTAATACACTATATTTTATTTCCAGCTAAAGTTGTTGTCATAGATGTTTTTGTGTGCTTGGAATATGGCAACTTTTTTTGTTATAAGAGTTTTTTTGTTTCTTTTATTTATATTATATTTTCTATTATATCCGTTCTATTTTTCCGTTCCGGTGATCGGATGATCGGACGCTTATTTACCTAAACTTCACTTTTATCTCCATGAAAAAATAATATGGAGATGCTCTCTGAAAAATATCTGTCAATTCAGTAAATTCCAGTTTTTGGATTGAGTAATTAATATTATTTACAAAATGACTAAAAAACAACATTTTAACAATTGTTTAGTAAGGAAA